ATTATCCCCGTTTCGCACTATCAAATGAACAAGATAGGGTAAAAAAGCTGAGAACAATACAAATTCAGCAAAAGATTTCTGTCTTTCGAATCAAGCATGCGCTTATGGAATGTAGATTGGTGGAAGTGATTATATTCAAGTGAAATTTGCATCTATGTCGGTGTATAATTAGACATGCGTCATTCATGAGAACCTAAGATATGAACATTCTCATTCTGTGGTTACTCTATAAGGTTCATGCCTGAAGCCCTTGCAATAAGCAACAATATGCCATGTGTGGCCAAAGTGGAGGTCACGATGCACTTTACCTCTGATGATCCTTCATCATTACGGCTTAGCATGAGACTTTCTTAGTTTGTGTCGCATGCTCTAGGTGTTGTCTTCGAGATAAACTATTTTATTCATAAAGTAGGCAGAGAGAGAGGACACGTGGCAGGTTTGACGAGAAGAGGGTCAAGTAAACTATAGTCCAAAAATTATCATCTTCGGCTAGACAGGGACGCAGCAGTCTGTGTAGTTGCATTCTACTTTTTTACCATACGCAATACATGAGTTCATCATGATTGAGTACTTAAGCAACCCAAGAGGGTTTACAAGTTGTTCTTCCTCTTTTATTCAACAGCAAATGAAATAGGCATAGAGGCAATTAACAAGGCGGTTTATTTTGGCACTTATCTCATAAGACGACAGAACTTAGCAGCTGCAAATGGAACAAGAATGGAGCGTTTTACTTCCCAAGGCAAATGGTCTATCCCTCATCACCTCGAATTCTGTCACTACAATATTATTGCTCTGTCGCTGATTCTGTAGGGAAATGCGGGAACTGTTGTTTGTACCCATATGATACCCTTTTGTCACTGCATATGATAATGTGAGGAGATGGTAATACTGATGTAAGAATGCATCGTTATAGGAGCTAAGCAAATATAAATTGAGGCAGAAATTACGATGGGATGCAGATAAGGATGAGGCAGTCATTTATTAAGTGGAAATCATTCTGAACACAAGGACGGTGCAGTTGAGTGCCTCAACACAACTATGCAATGGTTTCAGTGGTTTGAGACGGTCTGCCCCCGTCCACTAACACACTCTACTTATCCCCACTGATGCAACACCAACTTGACGAGGAGCTTCTACAGATGAAGTACAGGGGTGAAATCAGTTAATGAAGGGGCAGGTGGTTAGGCTTTACATCTAGGAGTTTAGCAATACATAGTATCGTAGCTGATGGAGATGGGAGGGAGGCTAGTAGAGGTAAGACGGGAAGGCCCACTGAAGGGCACTGGCACAAAGAAGAACTGCCACACTTCATTGGTCCTACCTAATGCTTGGATGTAAAAGACGGAATAAATCTGACAAGTGCCAACTTCTGTTAAACGCGATGTCATTGCAGCAGGCTTTGGCAATTAGCATAGCATCCTGTTCAGTCACTCATCAAAATGTCAGTGTGGTGACACATAGAAGTGTGTAAGATTGGGTAAATGAAGCATTTGAATTCGCAGTACGCCACTTCCGCTTACCAAGAGTGTCAAAAGGTTGATGTTGGAGACCGCAAAATTGCCTTCATTGAAGGCACTGTGGGAAAGCTCAGTCAGCCAATTTGTAACCACTACCCTCTTCATTGCCTCCATATTTGGTTTATGCCCTGACCACTTATTCATAGAAATATAGGTTGCGTGGAAATAATCTCGTAGTTGCATTACTCCGCGTCCTCGATATGTTCGTACTAACAACGGAGCAAAAAGTGGAACGTAAGGTGAAAGCGAGTGGGATGTAGAAAGCGACCGATGGCCAAGGCTTTGAATGAATGCATAATGAGAGATTGGTGACGGTGGAGCATTCTTTTCTGATGTCACCTTTACTGGCCTAAATTCAGAGAGATGTGAAGTTGGCTTCTTGGTCAGTGAAGAGGTTAACTGAGGTGGCAGTAAGTGCAAGTGTGTGAGTAATTAAGCACCTGAGTAAGTGAGTGAGTTGTCCTATGGATGCGAAACATTCTTTTCTTTCATCTGCCTCGACAGTCATTACTGATCAGATAATAGCAAATAAGTACCTTCTCAAGGACGAAACGAGTGACATAAAAATAGAACTTTAAAAACACAAAGCTCATAAAACCGTGCACACCTATTTATAAACTCAATTTCTGAAATAAAAAGGATTTTCTCTAATGCATGTCTATACATATATATACACAAATTTAGAAGTGCCACTCACCTCCACTCCAACATATGTATTCAATTTATCAGTATGTGGCAGTTCCTCCAGTCTACATCACTCCAAACGTACTGCTTTCATCTAAGTGGAAGGAGTATTATAGGGGGACATCCGTTCCAAGTTTGTAATTCTGAAAGGATCCTCGAGATTTAAAAGTTTTGTGTTCTAGCAAGACCGCAAATTTAACGGAGGAGTCAGAAGGCTAACATGGAAAATCGCAAGCACATCTTACATACCATTTGTGGCGTTTAAAAAATGAATAAATGGCGAATCTGGTTAGGCCTTCAATGCAAGTATCAAAAGGCCACCGATACCAAAACATGCTCGAAAGTACCATTTGAATAATTAAAAAAATTTCTGCTGCCTGTCTATAATTCTGTAATTAAAACCCTGTACAAGGCCTAGCAGATAAGTGTCATGGACTCAAAAACGGGGTTTTGGCAAATTCCTTAAATCTTAAAAGAAAACATGCCCTGTCCCTCATTAAGTGGGTACTTCACAAGCACCAACACATGGATTGACACTTCGTTTACAGAGTGATTGATTCATGTCTATTTTGACACTAACAAAAGTAATACCTTACCTGGAGTGAAAGAAAAAAAACTAATTATTGGGGTAGGTGGAAGTTGTCAGCGGTGCAGGAAAGATGTAACAAAATAATGCTCTTGATATAGGACTGCACCACTCCCATTGGTTTGGCTATCAACCAGAGTGATCTTTAATTTGTGCTA